ACTTGCTGCTAAATCCAATGAGGACCTCGGTTCTATCCCTAGGCTCTACGTGGTGGAAGGATAGCAAGAACTCTTTGCCAGCTATCTTTGGATCTCCACAAGCATCATGTGCATACATACACACCCGGACACAAATAAATACAAATCAATGTTTTTGTCTTCTTTTTAAAGAAAATAAGTTAAGACACAGCAACCTAAGAACCATAATTCAGCTTGCTTGAAAACGGCTCAGCATTTTGCTAGGACTGGTTTGTTATCTATTGTACCTCCAAAGCTCCTACGTTCTGCTTTGATCGTCTGTCTTTTCCCACTGAATGATCTGTCTTCCCAAGTTAATACGTTAAAACTGTATCTTAATTATTATGTCTGAAAACTAACTTGCAGAGCGGTAATAACATTCTTCATCTCACTTAGGATGCTTCAACCCTTGTGTGACTGACATTTCCAGCTGGATGGTTCTTTGCTGAGACAGACGGTGCTGTACACTATAGAGCAGCAGTTCCCAACCTTTGGGTCACGACCCCTCTGGGGGTGTCAAACAATCCTTTCATAGGGCTCGCCTAAGATCATCGGAAAACACAAATATTTACACTAAAATTAATAACAGCAACAAAATTATAGTTATGAAGTATCAACAAAATAATGTTATGGTTGGGACTCACCACAACACGAGGAACTGTATTAAAGGGTCAAAGCATTAGGAAGGTTGAGAATCACTATTAGAGAGACTTCAACAGCAACCCTTCCGTGCCCACTGCCTCAGGATGAGATGCCACAAACACTTTCCCTAAATCATAATCATCAAAAATGGCTCAAAGCATTGTGAAGGATGTCTGTGGGAAATATTGCCCCAGAGAGAGTCACTGATGGCGGCAGCCTGCTTGTGTTAGACGTTTAGGTATTATTCACTGTTTCATGACTTGAAAACAACACTGATTTGGAAACTCTAACATTCACACTAAACACAACACATTTCAAAATTCCCTTTAGAGGAGAAACGGCACACTGGAAACTTTGTTGTCTTTTCTCTGGCAGCCCTCCCAGCAAGTGTAACTGTTTATAATACAACTGAAAGAACATACATATCTTTCTCCAGATTCTATCCATTTCCTGGCATTGCCAATCTTTTTCAAATCATGCCCACTGATTAGCAAAACAAAACATTACCTTTCCCTTTAAATATGTATGCAACTCTTTGCTAGCTACGTTTGTAACATTCACTCTCTTTATTGGCTATTTATATTGCTGCTTTAAGACCTGCCTATTAATGTCCGTTCCCCACTCTTGATTTTGTAAGAGCTGTTAACTCTGTCTTCTGGTATGTCAACCAGCCTTTGTTGCTATGAGAAAACATCTGAGAAAAACAACTTATAGGTAGAAAGATTTATTTGGGTTCAAAGGTTCAAAGGTTTCAGTCCATAGACTCTGGGGTGAGGCGGATCACCATGGAAACATAACAGAACAAAGACACTCACCTCTTTAGAGGCAGGAGGCAGAGAGTGAGCAGAAAAGGCTAGAAACAAGATACATCCTCGAAAGTCATGTGCCCAGTGACCTACTTCCTCCTCCTCTACTAGGTTCTCATCATATTGAAATAGTGCCACCAATTATTCACACACAATGGGTCGGTCGATTACTGATGTCACCTGCCATGATCCAATCAGCTTCCCAAGACCCCAGCTTTAAATACTGCTACTCCTAGCAGCCTTCAAACACAGGCACCTGTGCAGACATTCATAAGTAAACCGTATCATCTGGCTTGTCTTTTTTTTTTTTTCTTGTAAACTTTATACCAGATTTACCCATACGGAAACCATATGCTATTGTACTGCCAAGGTGTCAGCCATTAGACTATAGTTTACTTTAAGCATTTCGTCATAAGAAAGGTTGCCTCGCTTGGTCTTCCTGTGGGTCCCCTAACAATTGAAGCGGGGTGGGATGGAGGGGTTGCTGTCTCTCACTCTGTTGCCTGCCATTGGATCCCCTTCTCCTAACTGGACTGCCTGGTTGGGCCTCAGTGGGAGAAGATGTGCTTAGTTCTACTAGGAATGGATGTCCCAGGGCAGGGTGGTACTCAAGGGGGTGGGAGCGGGCTTCCCCTCCTCTGAAGAGAAGGGAAGGAGTTAAGGGATTTGTAAGGGTTGGACTGGGGGAGAGGGCTGCAATCAGGATATAAAGTGAATAAATAAATAATGGAAAAAAAGATTGCCTCTGAAACCTAAATTTGAGGGCCCCCCCCCATCAAGCTTATTTTTATTCTTCTGTAGTTTTCATACTCTTGCATTGAGCCCTCTCTCTTCCTCTCTCTTCCACTCAAGCAGCGCATCTCACACCCGAATATAGGATAGATCTCTGGAACTCTCTTAAGGCTTGCAGTGGGACGACAGATCCAGAATTTTTGTACGCTCCAGGTGACGTCAATGTCCTTAGATCACACTTAAGGTCACTATGTGCTAAACCTTCAGGACCTCAGCCCTCTGATTCCCTACCCAGTCCTTCTTGCCTGGTGTCAACCTTCAGAGCAGCAACCGCAACTTTTTCCCAGAATATGGTGAGCAATCTGTCTCAGTACTGACAAAGCCACCATTTCCCAATCTCTAGCCACAGAGCCACTACAGCTGTGGTCCTCAACCTTCTCAAATGCTGCGACCCTTAAATACCTCCACCTATAAAACTATTTCATTGCTACACAGTTCCTCACGTTGTGGTGACCTCCACCCATAAAACTATTTCGTTGATGCGTCCTAACTGTAATTTCGCTACCCTTGTGAAACGTAATTGCAATATCTGACATGAGACCCCTGTGCAAGGACTCTTCACGACCAGTAGGTTAAGAAGTGTTGCGCTCCAAGAAGTGACACCCCCTTCCATTTATTTCTGCCTCAGTCTGTGATCTCTAGTGAGGTGATTCTTCACTTTGCTCATCTCCTTCCTGTCCCACATAGTAACTGCATAAACTCAGTGGCTGTCCTCAAGCCACGCCCCTTTCCTGGCTGTCTTCCAACCACGCCCCTCTCCTGTCCTTTCAGCTCTGTCCACCCATGACCAGGGAAAGGAGAAGCTGTCCCAAGCCCGTGGTGGCACTTACATTTAGCACAGCAACAGCTACGTTAGAAAATGCAAGCGTTGGCTGAATCAAGGTTTCCCAATCTTCAGAAATTTCTCCTTAAAGATGTACTAATGAAGCCAGGTTTATTTAATTGAACACCTCATGGCTCTAACGATGTGCCCTCCAACCTTATTCAAGGCGTTAAAGTGACTTCCATTTTACAGAGCTGTTAGTATAGCTGTTAGTGAATTCACATAGCCCTAGGGGTCAGAGGAAGGGCTTGCTGCCTGGAATCACAGGAGGCCTTGAAGATCCCCCCAGAACTCATAACCTAACACCATCTGTATTTGTAAGTGAGGACAGGCAGTCCTTCACCCCAAGTTCTCCATTCTGCGCAACCCCCCCCCGCCCAAAAAAAACTCTAGAGCAGCGGTTCTCAACCTTCCTAATGCTGCAACCCTTTAATACAGTTCCTCATGTGGTGACGACACCCCCCCCAACCATAAAACTATTTCGTTGTGACTTCACTGTAATTTTGCTACTGTTATGAAACGCAAAGTAAATATCTGTTATTCAGGATATCGGATATGCGATCCCTGAGAGAGTCAGTTGGTCCTCAGGAGGTCCTGACCCATAGGCTGAGAACCGCTGCTTTAAAACAGTATTTCTTTTATGTATGTACGTGCGCGGTGAGGGCGGGGCAGCAAGGATCACATTGTGCCTGTGGAGGTCAGAGGACAACTTTGTAGAGTCTGGTCTCTCCTACCTTTACTTGGGTTCTGAGACTGGAAATCCGGTGGCCAGATTCACAAGCATCTTTAACCCTCTCAGCCGTCACTCCTACCCTCAAAGGTCCTTTTAAGAATAACTCCCTCCTTCTGTGCACTGGGAAGGAAATTCCATCCCCTCAATTTGGGATGGTCCCTGTCGTCACTATTTTAAAAATCTGTTCAAGATGCGTTATAACACATCGGTAGCTTTCCGAGTTTGTTTGCACCAGACCCTTGCAGGAGTCGGTATTTCCTTAACAGTGTATGTAAATCCATGCGACAGAGAGACTGTGTGTGTGTGTGGTGCCCTTTAGAACACGATGGCCCCTTGTCACGAACCACTTCTCACCAGTCATGGTCTGCGTTCTGTTTAACGCAAACACAGCCCACTCCCTCCTCCCAGACAGCAGAATTTTAGGAAGAAGCACCGGAACTGGCCTGAGGACTATGGAGCAGCGACGACAGCGGCTCTGCTTTTGTCCTGCAAGGTGGTCACAAACTTAACTCTGATTCAGTCCAATGCTATCTACTAGACACTTCTGTTGGACAGGTTCCTGTACCGCGCACTTGGCACCTAAAGCTCACACGCACGTTCTTTCTGGAAAGCTCCCCAGCTTCCCTAGTTGCAGCACAGGGCTGAAACCCTGGCGGAGCTTGGACTCCAGGTGGCCCGCCTACGGTGGCCACCGTCTGCGCAGCGTTCCCGGGGCTGCGGTGGCGGAGGCCAGGCCGCACGTCCAACAATGGCTCGAACAGGTCGCGCCCCACCGCCCACCAGGGCAGGCTCGCTGTCCTCAATACCCTGCGGGGCGTGTTGTCCCGGGAGCGAGGGCGGAGACCCCGCCCCCCGGGGCGGGCGCGGCGCGGAGTGGGCGTGTCGGTTGGGCGGGGCGTCCTGGGTCCGCCCCTCTGTCCCGGCTATAACTCCTCGGAGCGCCGGCGCTCGCCGGCGGGCGGAGACGCGCGCCTGGCACTGGTGAGACGGGACGCGCGGAAGGGTGCTGCTGCGGGGACTCGGGCGGGCTGCGGGGCTCCCGTGGGACCACCTTCACCTGACCTCTCAGAGGACGGAGCGTGGAGCTCAGGTGCCCCCGAGGGCGGAGAGGACTCCGGGCTGGCGGTGCCCGCGCTTCCCCGGGGCGGACCTCAGCTGCTCACTCCTTCTCCTCCATCTCTAGGACATGGACCGCGCGCGCCTGTGGCTGGGGCTTCTGCTGCCCGTGGTGGCCGCCCTGGATTTCCAATACCACCACCAGGAAGGGATGGAGGCGTTCCTAAAGAGCGTGGCTCAGAACTACAGTTCGATCACGCACTTGCACAGCATCGGGAAATCTGTGAGAGGTAAGTGGCCTCCTGCGCACGTCCCCAACCCTCAACCCGCGTTCAAAAGTAAGTTAAATGGTAACTTCTGGTTCCCTGTTGGTGAGGCTCCAGGGACACACAGGTAAAGCATACCTTGCCCAGTCAGTGGTTTTCTGCTTTTGTTTGTTATTTGCTTTTGGGTTTTGGGGTTTGGGTTTGTTTTGTTGTGTTTTTTCAATTTTGTTAGATCAGGAGAGCTGTAAGAGGAACTGTATGTATATTGAGGTTTCTCTACCGAGAGTCAGTAACACTCAGTCTTCTGTGTTATTGCCTCTGGGGATCGGGAGGACATTATTTGAGAGGTATATTTTCGTTCCTTTTTAGGGTAAACATCTTCCTCAGTTTCCCTTTTTGTTCGCTTCCTTGCATACTGATTGTGACTGTTAACTGCAGTTTCCTCAGGTCGTTTTAAAACCAGACAGTGCCAAACTTTTGAGGGGTTCTACACATGTGTAGTTAACCCTAATGGCTTAAAGTTATGAGAAAAGGCGGGTCTATATCTAAAGGCTGGTTTTTGAAGGATACACCTGCTTGGTAGTAAGTTCCAACGAATGATAGCCTTAGAATTTTCAAGTGTATCACTCAGTCTGCTTTAATTTTGAAACTATGTATTCTTCATGGAGGGAGCAGAGGGGAACAAAGAAACGAAGGATTGTGGTCAAGTTACTTAGATGGCTATTCTATCCATCTATCTATCTATCTATCTATCCATCCATCCATCCATCCATCTATCTATCTCCTGGAGATAAAACTCAGGACCTCATTTGTGTTCCGCAAACATTGTATCGTTAACCTAATCTACTAGCCATAGAGGGGGAAGTTTTAGCCAGGACTGGCACCTGATTTGGGGTGGGGCAAATACATTTAGCAGCTATCACCACTTCTTCATCTTTTGTTACTACACTGATTTTCACAAAAGTGGTTGCCAGAAAACTTAATGCTTGACATAAAAGAGTCATAAAGTTCATGCAGTTTGGCTCAGCTGTGGAGGTTGTGTTCAAATTCTTAGCTGCAGTTTTAGCACTGATCCTTTGACTCAGCTGGGAGTCTCATAATCACATTACTAAGTAATCGGTCACTGCTCATAATGGTCAATATCATGGTTCTTGTATTCTAGAATACTAAAATGCATAAAAAACCGCTTGGACTGTGTAATAGGGGCTTTATTTTTGAAGCAGCATTGCCAGGGTTGGTGTCAGAAATAATCTGAAATCATCTGGTCTCCACAAGCCCCAACTATAGAGGTTAGTTAGGTGAAAAATTATATCCTGAATCAGCATACAGATTGAAGCTCTTAAAATAATGTATCCCAAGGGCTAGAGTAGAACAAATTTAAAAGATTTAAGAATACTAATGAATATAAAAGAAATGTACAATGAAACTAGCTTGCTGTTATTGTTCAATCATTTTGTAACTACCATGGTGATGGGATGCTGTTGGAACAAGTACCAAATGACGCGTGTGTTTTTGTGTTTTCTTTTCTTTTTCTTTTTTTATTGGATATTTTATTTATTTACAATACAGGTGGCATCCCCTTTCCCCATTTCCCCTCCCTAGAACCCCCTATCCCATCCCCCCTCCTCCTTTACGCTTTTATACCATTTTGATTACATGCATGTATGTATTAAGGTCAGTTCTAGATTGAGGAACTAGCAATACAATAGGTGCAAATAGTCAAGGAACAAGCAAGATAATAAACACAAATAGTCAAAGAAAAAGCAAGGCATTAAACCCAATTACATGAACACTCCCGTGATCACTGTTTCTAAGGGCTTATCAGGATGACCAAAGTATCTGAGCCTACTTCCCTGTCCTAGCTTAAGGTCATTTTCATGTCTGAAGCCTACTTCCTTGTTCTAGCCTAAAATTTAGATTTCTGTCTGGAATTACTTCTTTGCTCTAGCCTAATGTCTGATTCCTGCCTGAAGCCTAATTCCTTGTCCTTGGCCAATGTCATACTCTTGCCAAGCAGCCCATTTCCTTGTCCTTGGCCCATGTCAGATTCTTGCCAAGCAACCCCAAAGGCTTTCCACCTCTCCCCGTTTTTGTGTTTTCAAACACAAGGTTCTTGTGACAGATGTATAAGACTGTCCAAATGTGAGCTGCCTACTCACCTGAACTCAAACCTCAGGAAGAGTGAAAGCCAGTGGATTCACTTGACCTTTGTTTTTAACCTTGTATGCGCTTCAGTGGTTAAAGGATGAGGGACTGTGATGTCAGAAATAAATGCTGGTACCAGCAGCCAGATACTTAGGCTGCGTATGCATCTCTAAGTAATTACTTAGATTAGGAAAAAAAAACCCCAAATCTACCATTAGATTCCAGAGTAGGTTGAACTGTGCACCTTTGATTGATATCCACTTGCCAAGATATCCCTGAATTTCGGTGTGATAACTGAGGCGTAGTAATTCTTGATGCTGCCCTTTCCAACTGGATAAGAAGTTTTCCCTGGACACGTGCCCTCTGGTGTGAGGTATGTGTACTTAGCACACGGATTTACCCTAGTTGCCTTTATTTACTTTCTTCGGCTGTTAATATGGGCAGCCTCACCCAGATGATTGAATAATGGCTAACCGGGTAAATGCGTCTGGGGTTTTACGAGTCTCTAGCATGTTTCCATTACTGCAATTATGAATTCTATCCCCTTTCCCGCTTCACACTATTTTATTATTTATTTTTAGGAAATATGATCTGGACTACTGATGAATTCTCTTGACTTTTGTCAGTCATTCCCCGTGTTGGGACATTGGAATACTTTCTGATTCTGTTATAAACAATGATATAGATCCGTTGATACATATTTTACATACTTCTATTATAATTGTGGATTTTTTTAAAAAAAAGGATTATTTAATTTTGCTCTATGTGTGTTTTGCCTGAATGTATGTATTACTATACACGCATGCTTTGCCTACAGAATCCAAAGAGGGCCAGCATATCCCATGGCACTGGGGTTCCAACAACAGCAGTCTCCATGTGGGTGCTGGGAACTGAACATAAGTCCTCTGGAGAAGCAGCCAGTTTTCTTAACCAGTGAGCCATCTTTCCAGCCCTGAACTTTTATTTTTTTAAATAAATTGAAACGTACACATTTGAGCACAAATGTGCTTTTTACCTAGATTTAGACATAGCAGATAAACTATATTTGACTGTAAGCTTTGAAGGCATTCTTTTTTTTTGTTTGTTTGTTTGTTTTGTTTTTTTGAGACAGGGTTTCTCTGTGTAGCCCTGGCTGTTCTGGAACTCACTCTGTAGACCAGGCTGGCCTTGAATTCAGAAATCCGCCTGCCTCTACCTCCCAAGTGCTGGGTTTAAAGGCGTGCGCCACCACTGCCCAGCAAAGGCATTCTTAATACTTATTGACAGGGTGTAGAAAAATCTTAGGTGAAACAAGAAAAGTAGTACCAAGTGTACCAAGGCACAATATTCACTCTCTGATGTGTGTGTGTGTGTGTGTGTGTGTGTGTGTGTGTGTACACGCATGTGTGCATGTGCGCATGTGTATGTGTGAGTGTACACAGAGGCCAGAGGTGAACCCTGAGTGTCTTCTTTTATTGCTTACCACCTTATGTTTGAGCCATGGTCTTTCACTGAAGTTGAAGCTCGACTCTCTGGGAAGACTAGCTGCCAGTGAGCCCGGGCATCCTCCTGTCTCCACCTACGCGGATGGGGTTACTTTTGCGGGGCACTACACACAGTTTTTCACATGTGCCTTCTAAAGATAATGTACTGGGCTTGTGAGATGGTTCGGCTCATAACTACACTTACTGCCAAGCCTGAGCTGACTGTTTGATTCCCAGGACTCACGTGGTGGAAGGAGAGAATCACATTCCATATATGCTGTCGTTTGTCTTCCACATGTGTGCTGTGTGGTATGCATGGACCAAATACAAATTTTAAAAGAAATAAAAAAAAATTTAATTATATTGGTTTTATTCTCAAAAAGTGTATATTAAGGGGGTAAACTTCTAAGCTTTTTGTTGTGGTTGGAACACAAGGAGGACTTTCCTTCTCCTGTTTGTTTCTTCAGGAACTTACCTCCACAGGTCGTCTGGAGCCTGCGCACCTTCTCAGGTGTTCAGAAATTTCTTCAGAATTGGCTTAGATTCTTGCTCCCACAGGGCAGCGAGTGAGCTTATATATGCCCCTCTCTCACACTCTCCTGCCCTTGACTGGATAGGTTTATGTAACGGATAATTTTTTGAAAAAGTTGCGGCTCTGCGGGGCGGCTCTGCTTAGCTGGCTGCCATGTTCCGCCCTAGAAGCGGCCGGAGGCCACGCGTGCCACAACTAGACCCACGAGACACCAGCATGGGGGCTGGCTCTCCCAATCCATCACGCTGCCCCAGCAATGCTCGGCTGAGCCCAAACCATTCCCGCTATGTCTGCGGTACCCAGCAGAAATGAGACTCTTAAAGATGAATGATTATCCAAAGGATTTATATATCTGGAAATGATCAATTAACAAGATACCCACATAATCATAATAGTTACCCAATATCTAACCTTAGATATAAGTTGCTACCCAGGACTGCTCTCACGTATCCATCTTCCTCCATGGTCGATAGCCTCCTTCCTTCTTTCTCCTTCTTCTTCCCAACTCCTCGAGGCTCCGCCTACCATTCATACTGCCCAATCACCGAGCTGCACTGCATATACAACGTAGCAGTAGCAGGAAATTATCCTGCTACAGGTTTAAGCTAGTGGTTTTTCCTGGGGGGTTGGGGAGGATGTACCATGTATGTAAGATTTGAGCGCAACAGTTGGTTTTCCTCACATTCTGCTCATTTTCCAAACATGCTCCCCCCCCCAAAAAAAAAACAATTTGCCTGAGCTCCTGTATAAAGTGATGGAAATATTGAGAGATCTCGGAACAAACCCTGAAACGTTGGAATTTTGGCTGTCACTGTCCACGTGTGTGACTTAAACCCAGCTGAACTTAGCAGGCATTTTCCTTTAAGAAATCTAACAAAACCTTA